TATAATAAATTTATAGTATAGGTAATTTGATGTGCACTCTATAGGATTTTGCAAAATAGGGGCAGTATGACGAAAGTTGCCAAAATAGTTTTTCGCAACATTCATATCATGCATGTCTCTATTTTGCAAACTCCTGGTTTGCATGCCAAATTACCTACTATTAGTGGTGCCCGCGAGAGTCTCGTTTTCGAGAGTCTCGCATGGTCTCGTCTCGTTTTCGAGACAAGACTCGAGACGAGACTCGGACAAGACGAGACGAGACTTTTATTGGTCTCGTCTCGAGTCTCGTGCAAGACTTCTCGTGTCTCGTGCGAGAGTCTCGCAGGTAAATATTTCTGCGTGGCGCGACTGCAGACTAGAGAATTTCATTCATAATACAACATATTCAAAAAGAATTCAGACTATTCAGCACAGATAGACAAAACATTTCATTCATGAATACTTCAAAAACACAATACATGATTTTTTTAAATTTTTTTTATCGCTAGGAGTGCACGAAAGGAAATCCCTATAATGTTCAAAGAACATCGTGCTTTCCTAGGACGGATAGGAACAGGAGGTATTAATTGGATTTTTTTTTGAACTTCTGGAGATTATATGTTGTTGGGGATACTTCCTCAGGCAATGAATTTCAGAGCCTAGCCGATTTATGGATGAAGGAGTTTTGATAATGTGCTGTTCGACATCTTTCGAGGTTGACAACGAAAGGATGTGCTGTTGTAAAACGACGTAATGCGTGAAACGAGAACGGACTATTCTCTCTCTTACGGCGGAATAATGTTGGATTAAAGTTTTTGTTTTGTTTACTTGTTCAGAATATACGTGTTACTTTTCATTTTATTTTTATAACTTCCGAATATATAATGCTGTTTTTTTTTCTTGTTTAGATATATGATGTGAGTATGTACCTATTATGTACTTACTTTTCAATAAATAATGTTATTTTTGTTGTAATTTTCTCTTCCTACTTTTACATTATACCTAAAAAGTAGGCAATGGTGAATATCCCGTACTAGACTGGAACAAGATTATGCATGATGAAATTGCGATACTTTTGCGAGACTCTCGTACGAGACGCGAGACAAGACGAGACTCGGGGCTGCGAGACAAGACTCGAGACAAGACTTCATATTCCATCGGCGAGACGAGACGAGACTTTATGAAAGTCTCGTCTCGTTGGTCTCGTGTGAATCACTACCTACTATTGATTAATTATACAACTGATTTATCATGGAAAACTTTATTTAATTATTACAGAGTTTTCTAAAATTTTCTAACGTTGGTCAGACGAGGGTAGCATGCCAATTTTTTCGGAGTGTTTTTATTACTAAAACTTCAATTCCTTACATCGGCATGCGATTTGTAAACACGGAAGTCCCCTTTAATGGTCTTCAGTTTTTCGTAACCTTTTAGGGCACTTTTGACCGCTGAAGATTGCATGCCATCCAATATTAGCACTTCAGTTCGTTTGTATGGAAAACACGAAAATTCTTCACAAAAAAAGGCGATTTTCTTTATACCTGTATCTAAATAACACCAAAATGAATTCAAGAAGTGATTCCCTGTGATATTTTGGGAAATAAAGTTCATATGAACATGTGTCCTAACTTGCTTCGTTTTCGAGATACAGGGTATTGATATTTCCATGAAAAATCTGTTTTCTATTCATTTCCCAATTGTCTTTTCATCAATTTCAATAAAACGTTGTGGTTTTGTTAATAGTGATATGGAGCTTCTTAGTGCAATTGGATTCGAAATAATATTTCCAGTGGCGTCACATCAGTGCGCAAATTTATCGATATTCATGGTGAATGTAATTGTACAGGGTGATTCACCATAAATGTCCCCCCTTCTAGCTCAGTTATTTTCTAACCAATTTCAAAATTTGAACTATCATCCTAAATGATGTTCGATAATGTTTTTTTCCGCTACATCAGAAAATACAGGGTGCTCGGAACAAACGATCTACAGGGAACTATTTGATTTTTTAAAATGGAACACCCTATTTTTCATTGTATTTTTAGATTCTCCCTGAAGAACTGATTTGATCAATGCATCACACTTGGGGTATAGCGGGAATGATTACAGAGATATAGGGTGTTCAAAAATCGAGATTTTTCACCTTTAGGATTTTTTTGTGACGAAACTATCATTATCGGTCAAAACGGTTCTCATCTACTGACATTTAATAAATGGAACAGATACAGGATGATCAGAATTCTGAGTCTTGAACCACCCTTTAGATATTCCGATTTAATGTCAGTAGATAATAAATCGAAAGTTGAGATTGACATAGAAGCCGTTTTGACCAATGATGAATAGTTTCGACACAAAAAATCCTAAAGTTGAAACATCTCGATTTTGAACACCCTATATCTGTGTATTCATTTCCGCTAGACCCCAAGTGTGATACATTGATAGAATCATCGCAGGTCACAATTGTTACATCGCTGCGATGTAACTGTGTTTGCAGGGAGGGTAATTCAAGATTCAGAATTCTGATCACCCTGTATATGTTCCAATTGAATGAGATGGTAAATTGAAAGTTGAGATAGTGTAAGCCATTTTGATCAAAAATGAATAGTTTCGACACAAAAAAATCATTTCCGCTAGATCCCAAGTGTGATGCATTGATAGAATCAGTTCTTCAGGAAGAAATTAAGAAGACAATGAAATACAGGGTGTTCCATTTGAAATGATCAAGTAGTACTCTGTAGATCATTTGTTCCGAGCACCCTCTATTTTCTGATGCAACAGGAAAAAAAATTCTGAAAAACCATTCTAGATTATTTTTCAAATTTCTGAATCGGTTCAAAAATAAGTGAGCTCTAGGGTGAGACATTTTGGTGAATCACCCTGTACACCACCGGTTCTTCTGAGTTTCATATTTTTATTAGATTGAACTATTGAAATAGCAACTTTTTTATTCTGTGTGTGATTTTTTGAGGAAACAATAAAAATTCGATTTGACTCCAATTTTGAAATTTTGGGGCTTTCTCAGTCTCCAACTATACTGAATTTTGGCACCATGAATGCTCATACAGAGGGTTTATAAATAAAAACAATTAATACTTCCAACTTCAACATCCTGTATCTCAAAAACGGAGCGCAAGTCAGGACACATATTCTTATGAATTTTATTTGCTAGAATGTCACAAGGAAATACCCCTTGATTTTTTCCGGTGTTAGTTGAATACACCCTGTATAATGCACACGTGGGGCGGCCAAGAACCCGTCTCTTGTTCATATTTTGGGGTTGATTATAAAGCCTTGAAAAGGCATGCAATGTGAAATGGGAGAACGTCACCTTTAACCATCTCCTGGTCTATCACCTTGTACAGTGTGTCCAGTTTTCGATGCTCTTGCATGATATCTCAGTTATCTTTGGAGATAGAACCTTGCGGTTTTCGCGGTCCTGTACCACTTTTTTGTGAAACTCAAGATGACTTAATCAGATTTTGCAAGACTGTTTCCGTTTATGAGATACAGGGCGATTTTGAAAATTTATACTTTTTGGACCCCCTCTATAGTTTCTCAACAAAAATGTCAAACCAAAATCTTATCGCATGGAGAATTTCACGCATAATCCAGTGGCGCACTCAAATTTTTTTTTCGGGGTATGGTTTTGGAGATACGACTCAAACTTATGATTTTTTAAATGGAACACCCTGTATTCCATAAGCTCATTGAATTCCTTATTCTTTTGTCTTCAAAATGATATATAACGAATGGATATAAAATTTTCAAAATTGCTCAAAATCACTAAAATATTGAATTTTGATAGTTGGTTATGGATTTTTCTTATAAAAAACGTTCCAATTGAAGACATATTTCTTTAAATTTATCCATGGAGAGGTCAAAACCAATATCAACACTTATTAATTAACAAACACTAAACTTGGGTACCTGATAGCAACAAATAAATAGTAATAAAAAGTTCATAATGTAGAATAAGCACCTGATTGAATATTTACTGAAACAATTGAATTCCGGAATTATTCAGTAACTCATTCATTGACATGTTCAAATTGATATCCATTTTCCCTAACATACAGCTGACAAACTTACTCAATACTTCTTAATACAGTGAGTGGCCCAACATACTTGAAGAACTTTGTGCAACAACAGAGGCCGTTTTCCAGGAATCACAAAGACATCTTTCAATGATTAATATGTATTGAGAAAGTTTGTAATGGAAAATGGACATCAATTCGAACAATTCAATGAATAAATCACTGAATAATTTTGAAATTCAATTGTTTTAGTAAATATTCAATCAGGTGCTTATTCTACATTATAAACTTTTTATTACTATATATTTGTGGATATCAGGTATCTAAGTCTTGTGTTTTGCAAGATTAGTGTTGAAATTGTAATTTCTCCCTTCATGGAACAATCAAAGGAAATATTCCTTCAATTGTAAATTTCTTTACATGAAAATCCCTTGAAAAACCCATAGCCCACTAATAAAATTCAATGTTTTAGTGATTTTTGAACATTTTTGAAAATGTTATATTTATACATCATATATCATTTCGAAGGGAAAAAATGAGGAATTTAATGAGCTCATAAAATACAGGGTGTTCAATTTAAAAAATCATAAGTTTTAGTGGTATCTTCAAAACCATACTCCGAAAAAAAAAAAAAATTGTGCGCCACTGGATTCTGCATAAAATTCTCTATGGGTTAAGATTTTAATTTGAGATGTTCGCTGATGAACTTCGTAGATATAGAAGGGGTCCAAAAAGTATAAATTTTCAAAATCGCCCTGTATCTCATAAACGGAAACAGTCCTGCAAAATCTGATTGGGCCATCTTGAGTTTTACAAAAAAGTGGCACAGGACCGCGAAAATCGCAAGGTTCTATCTCCAAAGATAACTGAGATATCATGCAAAAGCATCGAAAACTGGACACACTGTACACACAATCACTTCACCCTGCACCGCACCAAAGAAAAAAACTTGGAAAAAATTGAAAAAAAAAAACTGTGGATTCTTACTTGTCTCATGTTGGGTGGTGATAACACTCGAGAATGTATGTATGGTGGTTGGATTGGACCATTCGCTTTTATAACCCTACTCCCACTGTTCCGGGTTACTTGGTGGCAGATGAGATCAGCCGTAATCTGTCGAAATCCCGTACCCCTTCGGCAAAAAGTCTAGGTAATCATCCATGTGGGTACGCGAACATGATAATTATTATTACTCCACATACTGTCCGCGAAATAAGAAGAAGAGCTCACCGCCTTGCGATCTATTCTCAACAATCTAAACGGCGGTCCATTCTTTGTCATTACGGCTTGGATGCGGTGTCTTTGGTCGAGTTTGGATTGTTTCCGTTAGTGGCTTATACCTTACAGCTCGTGCAAACTATAACGAAACCGAGACAGTTACGGCACTTTGTTGAAAAGGAATATTCTCAGATAAATTATGAACATAAAAAATGGATATACAGGGTGTTTCCTAACTACGGTTCCTAACTGCAGGTGGTGATTCGTTAGGTCATTTCAGGAAGAAAAGTTCCTATGAACATATGTCCGGAGCTGCTTCGTTTCTGAGATACAGGGCGATGAAATTGAAGAAAAAAAATGGTAATTACAAAATATCATGAAGATCTTGGAAGCGATTCGGTTGAAATTTCGTACTTTTATTTGAACTAATAAGGCGCTTATTCAGCCCTATTTACATTGAAAGTATTGGGGCTATAGTGGCGTCTCAGTAGGCACCACAGCCAACAATATCGTGAAAAAAAGTACGCCACTGACTTTTTTTTGGTAAATCATTATTTTTTCTAGATTGAGCAACTCAAAATACAACTTTTTGGTCTCTTGTATTTTCTTCATATCCAGCTTCGTTCCCGAGAAAAAAAAATTAAAGCCATTGTATTGCATATCATGAACACCTGCATTGGAGAAATGAGTTTTTCATTATTTCCGCTAAAAACATAATTGACACTTGATATGCTGAATTTTAGAGAATTTGACAAATAGAAGTACCAAATTTAAACCAAATCGGTTCCAGGATATCCATGATATTTTATAATTACCGTTTTTTTCCCTTTAATTTCAACGCCCTGTATCTCAGAAACGAAGCAACTCCGAACATATGTTCATAAAAACTTTTCTGCTTAAAATGACCTAACCAATCACCCCCTGCCGTTAGGAACCGTAGTTAGGAAACACCCTGTATACAGGCTGATTCACGGTGGATGGCACATTAGACGTTTCTGGTGAACCAGACAACGGATCATTTTGAAAATTCAATGGAGGGCATATTCGGACATTCTCTAGCCAACTAAAATATTTTCGACAATGCGGTGTTGCCGCTTCTATTAGAAAGCAGTAGCAACTTTGATTTTTCAAATGGAACACTCCGTATTTTATTGCATCTTTAGATTCTCCCTGAAGAGCTGATTTCATCGATGTATCACATTTGGGGTCTAGCGGAAATGATTACAGAGATATAGGGTGTGAAAAATCGACATTTTTCAACTTTAGGATTTTTTTGTGTCGAAACTATTCATCATTGGTCAAAACGGCTTACATGTCCCTATCTCAACTTTTGATTAACTATCTACTGATATTTAATTGGGACATATACCGGGTGATCAAGATTCTGAATTCTGCACCACCCTGTATTTGTTTCAATTAAATGTTAGTAGATAATTGATCAAAAGTTGAGATAGGGACATGTGAGCCGTTTTGACCAATAATGAATAGTTTCGACAAAAAAAATTCCTAAAGTTGAAAAATGTCGATTTTTCACACCCTATATCTCTGTAATCATTTCCGCTAGACCCCAAGTGTGATACATCGATGAAATCAGCTCTTCAGGGAGAATCTAAAAATGCAATAAAATACAGAGTGTTCCATTTGAAAAATCAAAGTTGCTACTGCTCTTTCTAATAGAAGCGGCAACACCGCATTGTCGAAAATATTTTAGTTGGCTAGAGAATGTCCGAATATGCCCTCCATCAAATTTTCAAAATGATCCGTTGTCTGGTTCACCAGAAACGTCTAATGTGCCATCCACCGTGAATCAGCCTGTATACACATACAGGGTGTTTCGAAAAAACCTAATCCCCTTGCTAGGGTAGGTAGAACATTGCAAAATAAGTTGGGTTTGCTCAGTGAAAAAATGTCGTAACGGCATCCGTTTTCATGATACAAGGTGTTGAAAAAATTATTTTTTTACCCATTATTCCGAAACTACTGGCACCATTGTAATGAAATTTTGCATGGATGTTTCTTGAAATCTGACACATCGCATGAATTTGTTTTTATATCTGACTCTCATAGAGCATAACTCTCATAGAACATAACTTTTTTGAGGTAAGATTTTTCAATCCAAATATGATATGATTTTGAACATCATTTAATTTTACACCAAAAAGGTACTCTTGTTGAAACTCGATACTATGCTCCGTTTTCGGAATGTTTCGATTTGAAAATAATTGAGTAGTAATGATGCTGGTATAAAATGAATTTTATTGAGTTCAATTACCTATTCATTCAGGTGCAAAAACAATCAAATTATTCTTGTGCTGAAGTTATTGATGGAACAAAGAATCATAAGTAGAAAATTAAGAGATATTTGACTAGAAACATGAAATATTGAATCAGTTAGAGTGAGTGTTCAAAAAGGTCTACGTTTCGAGGAATACACGATTCTATATTCATTTTTTAAGAATGTATTATTCTTCTGAACAGTTGAGGATCAGCTGTTAGGTCATTTAAGTGATGTTCAATTATGTCTCACAACTCTTGACGTGAATTTACCTATGTAGCATAGACTTTCTGCTCAAGATACAACAAAACTGTGTAATCCATGTTCTTAGTCAAATCTATTTCGATGTTATTCTTGTGATTCATTACTAAATCAATGAGTTTTGCATCAGAAATGTATTCTTGTTTTCGGATTTCAATAAATGGGTGATAATTTTTTATGATACTCACTCTAATACATAGCTTTATACCAGCAACAGTTACCACTTCATCATTTTCAAATCGAAATATTCCGAAAACGAAACACAGTATCGAGTTTTACCAAGAGTACCTTTTTGGTGTGAAATTGAATGATGTTCAAGTTCACATCGAATTTGGATTGAAAAATCTAACCTCAAAAAAAGTTATGTTCAGAACTACTCGGTACGAACCGTGTAACTAGCGCCCTCTATGAGAGTCAGATATAAAAACAAATTCATGCGATGTGTCAAATTCCAAGAAACATCCATACAAAATTTCATCACAATGTTGCCAGTAGTTTCAACATAATCGTAAAAAATGTATGAAAAAATATTGTTTCATTACCTTGTATCTTGAAAACGGATGGCGTTACGACATTTTTTCACTGAGCAAACCCAACTTATTTTGCAATGTTCTACCTACCCTAGCAAGTGGGTTAGGTTTTTTTGAAACACCCTGTATAAATAAATACATTAAGAATTCGCATTCTCTATGTGATAAAATTATCAATTCAGATAACTGGACTTCAGGTTACTGAGGAGGGTTTGAAATCCGGAATGAGTTTTACTCGAGTTGAGTCATAATAACTTGTTTGTGAGAGATATAATTCCCATATCACTGATACGAATGATTTTTTTTGAAGTTCAAGCTCATCAAGATCAGAGTTTATACAAACATAATTCAATGTTCGACGTGGCAAATAGCCAGGAAAGTAGTTGTTTTCTGTGGAATATTCAGAATGAACTTATTTGCATATCTTTATATGAAGGAGAATGCAAATACTCTACTTTGAAATATTTTGTTCTCAAATTCGTATCGTGTATGTTCAATAGATGTAATTCAACGTTCGTCGTGGCATATAGCCAAGAAAGTAGTTGTTTTCTGTTGAATAAACCGAGAAAAAAATTGATATTTTCATCACATAGGATTCTCAATGTATATCTTTTTATGTATATCCATTTTTTCAAATTCATAATTCATCTCAGAATATTCATTTTCAAAATGCTTTCACCCAATCAAGAGTTTGAACTTGAAAGATGCAAACCTCTTATTTTGATAGATCTTCAATCGCAGATTCGTTATTAGGTTTTTTCAATTTAGAATTTCTTTCCAGGTCCTGTATGATGAATATCAATTTGTGATACATTCAAAAACTTTGACTATTGTTTTTCTACAAAAGGTCACTTCAATGCTCAAAAAGGGGGTTCAAAAGTCAAGTCCCAGGACAAAAATTTTGCACTTTCGGGTGGAAAATGTATCCTTTAGTATTCCAAACAGGGACTGAAGTGAGAAAATTACGAAATCAAGACAGTTATGGCAGTCGTCACTTTTAACTTCTTGACAGTATTCTTTTCAACATTCGAAAGTGATATTTCAAATCATAGGTGGAAATGTTGCACTATTGGGAGTAGAATATGTTCTCCCGTCTTTTGCACAAACATTTGCCTGTAAATTGGGAGGTATGTTGAAAAAATAGTATTCTCTGCAACTGTAAATCAGTGATAATTTACAGTTGAAACTGTAAATTAGGAGGTGTTCTGGAAACAAAGTGCTAATTCACAGTTGCAACTGTAAATTAGTGCTAATTTACAGTTGCAACTGTATGTATATTAGGAAAATATTCGTAAAAAAAGTTCTTTCAGGATGGCAGTTCAGACACGTCGTAACTTCCAAACAGAAACTTCAGTAAGAAGATTATGAAATAAAGACAGGTATGGTACTTGTACCTGATGTTTCTCTGCTTGTGGTCACTTTAATATTCTGAATGTGCAAATAAGGGAAATAAGCTCATTAGATTCTTCAGAATGATTTTTTACAGATCTATGATGGACATAAATGTAGAATTAATATTCTCTGATAGACTGTTTTTTGTTTCGTTAAGCGAAGTACCTAACTCTGAATTCGAGGACATTTTCCGTTGAACAATACAAAAATCATAACCATCCAGCGGGTCGATTTTGTCGAAAATGGATCGAACATTCTCGATGCCACTTTTTAAATATTTTATTCTATAAATACGATCCCAGAATTTTCAATATTCCATTATGTGCAGGGCCATTCCGTATATATAAACAGCTTGTTCACGGTTCATCATTGAAGATTGAAAAAACTTGAAATATCAAAGTTGTG